GTGAAATGTTAGAAGAAATTTCAAATAAACAAAGCAGAAACCACTTTAGGCAGAGTAAGTTTGAGAAAGTAAGGAGTTATTTGATATGAAGTATTGTTAGGAAGGCACACACATGAGTATACAGAGGTCAGGAATGTAAAAAAGCTAGTTTTGTAAATTTATATTTCTTTGTTTCTTCCAATAAAATGAAAATTCTATTAGCACAATCTCCCAGTAACAACTGTATAGAATACATACAATGCAAAAAGACTTATTAGTGATAAGGATTTTATGCTCTAAAGAGGTACAGTGGTCCCTCTGTATCTGGGGTAGGGTGATGACAGGATCCTCTAGCCACCAGATTCATGAATGATAAAGTCTCTTATATAAAGTACTTTCATAGACACAAACATGCATCTTCCCATATATTTTAAATCACCTCTACATTACTTATAACATATAATATTATGTAAATGCTGTGTAACTGGTTGTTATATTATTATCATTTAATTCAGGAAATGACCCCAAAATTTCTATTTTTCTTTACAAATGGACATGCCCCTCCAAATATTTCTACATTTGCTTGGTTAAGTCCATGATATGGAACTTTCAAATTTGGAGGGCCAACAGTAGTTGAATTCTTTAGACAGATCAGTTGTTATGACTTCTCCCATACTTCACTTGAAAGAAAATCATTGGGGCTGTGTATTTAAAGAATACTTTAGAATATAACTTAGCCAATATCATTCTTAACACATCTCGAAAGTTCACAGTTCAAGAACACATATCACAGTTATTTAAACATTTGAGACCATCATTTAAAAAATTCTCCTGGGATGGAGAGATGGCTCAGCTATAAAAGGCTAGGCTTAAAACCAAAAATATAAAAGTTGCCCTAGTCCCCTTTATTAAAGTTCGTTGACACAGTTCAATACACACACACACACACACACACACACACACACACACACACACACACACACACCAAAAACAAACCCAACAGCAAAAACAACAAAAAACAGCACCTTTGAATTCAGCCTTTTCTTTCAGAAAACAAATGTTGCAACATATCCTATCAACTTTATATAGGCAAATTACCTCTTACTCTAATTCAGGTGTTGGCATATAGCATTTCTATCCTAGTATTCAGTTCCGAGCCATAACACTCCTGATCCTACAAATCATCCGTACCACACAGCCTGCTATGTACTTGAATTTGAGTGCTTTAACAGGCATGTTGCCTCTTAGGTGTTGACAAGCTAAATAATTAATGCTTCTAAGCATCCAGAGTTCTGAGGCTCAATGCTAAAATATGTGATTTAATTTCTCATGCATTCCTTCAAAAAGAAGGAAAATCCTGAAACAGAGATACTAAAGCTCATTTGTTTTCAGAATTTATTGACTTCTCAAAGGTGTTCGGTATTTTTTTTCTCATGCTCTATGCTATCATTTACACTTCCCACAACCCATTAGTTGTATTCAGATCTCATATGCAAAAAGAGAATGTGACAGAGATGGTCCTAAATCACTGAGGTGTAGTAAAGTCAGGAAAACACATCAAACTTATCTTCTTCTGTTTGAGAGCAACTGAACCCTGGCTTTCCTATAAGGTTTGATTTCTTTGGACCTGGATGTGCCCCCTGCCCTGCTCCAGATTCTTGAACATCACTGGATTTTCTTCAACTACTTTCTTTCCTCAGGCATGCTTAACTTCTTTGTGCCCTTGTCTACTTTCTTTAACGTCTGTGAATATCTGTTATCACTCCAATGGTCTGAGTACCCTGCTGATGAACTGCTCAATTCTGGGCATATCCCAGCATGAACTATATATACTCTAACCTTTCCAGTGATCTCCAGGTAACACTGTTAGAACCCAAGTGGGAACCTACACCTTAAGAGCTTAAATGAAGGAAGAGCTTGGAACCCTGTTCATTCCTGATACCACATTATTCAACTTTCATTACCACAAGCTCATTCCTCTGACTACAATCTATCTGTTCTCATTCTTTCCCTACCCGACTCAGTTTTTGAGATGTCTCACTGTAGCCCTGGCTAGCCTAGGCTATGTAGACCTGGCTGGCCTGGAACTTGCGGCCATCTCCCTGCCTCTGCTTCCCAGCTATTGAGATTATAAGTGTGAGCCACGGGACCCAGCTTTACTGTAACCTCTTGACCTTCCAATGAATGACTATAGCTCATTCATACCTTCAACCTTATTTTTCTGCCCTTATTATCTGTATTAGGCACTTTGCCTCGCTTTAGTCTAACCCATAGATTATCTCATGCATGAATTCCTACACAGGGCTTGGAGTGTGAACAATCAAAAAGTCTTTCTGTGAATAAATACTGACTTGTGGGTTTGTTTTTTAAGCTGTGGTTCACGTGTGGCTCAGTCACTTCTCAAATTGATCCTCCTACCTCAGGCTCCAGAGTATCTGGGGCAACAGGTATGTTATTACATCAAAATCTTCCAGGAAATAGTGGGAATCCCAAGGATAATTAGGTTAGGATCCGGGAAAGAGAAATAGTCATAGGGTTGATTCATGCTTACTCATTCATAAATGAGGAGGAAAGAAAGGAATAGGTCAAATACTGGTGGCATTCATGAAACATGATCGTCTAACAGCACAGGAAACACAATGAACATTGTCTGACAAGTGCTGTCATAGCCATTCATGACACTGAACATAGCTTCCTCCTTTAACTCTTCTTTTATCATGTATGCATCAGCAACTATAGATTTCTTAGAACCCAGTCCTGTGCAGAGATTCACCAGGAAGAATGAATGATAGAAGACCATGCTAACACAGCATTTCCTCTAGAAATTCATCTAATTCTTGATCCCTCATTCTTACTTGGGAATTGTGAGGGTGAATTGCCAATTTGGCAGAAGCTACAAGAATCTAGGCGATAAATATGTATACATGTCTGTGAGGAAGATTTACTGGGTAATTGAGGTAGGAAGACCCAAATGTAGGTGGTATCTTTCCACTGACTGGGTTTCTGGTCTGAATGCAGAAAAGGGAATGTGAGCTAATCACCTGTATTCATTTCTCTCTGTTTCCCAACTGTGAATGTAACATGAGCAGCTTTCTCGAGCTTCTGCATTCACACCTTCCCCACTGCTATAGACTCAAACTGAACCAAAATAAATCCTTTCACCCTTAAGCTGCTGTTATCAAGTATTTGTTGCAGCAATGGGAAAAGTAGCTAATAGAAAATGCTCTAAAAGTTTCTCTTTTTTTTTGCCCCAATTCTCATTCCTTCTCACTGATCAACTTCCCTTTTCTGAAAATGGTCAGCATTCATTGTGATCTAATCAGCTGTAATTAACTTTCATTTCCACTGGGCTCACTGAGATTTCATCCTTTTTAGCATATCTTCCTTGAAGATTTATCTACTTCTCAGTCCTTTCTCACTCCAATTACTCAACTAGAGGTTGTCCTACTTAGCTTTAACTGTCAACATGACACAGCTTAGGGCCACCTAAAAGAGGAGTCTCAGTTGAGGGGTTGCTCAGACAGACTGGCTGGTGAAGATGTCTGTGGTGGCTTGTGCTAATTGTTAATTGATATAAGAGGGCCCAGTCTACTGTGGGCAGCACCATTCTTTGGGCAGAGGGTCTCCTGGGCTTTACAAGAAAGCAAGCTAAGTGTGGGTCGGTGCACCAGAAAGAGCATTCCTCAGTGGATTCTGCTTCAAGTTCCTGTTTGAGTTCTTACCCTACCCTCCCTCAATGATGGGCTGTAAACTGTAAACTGAAGGCCGTTTCTCCCCTAGACTGTTTTTGCTCATGGTTTCTGTCATAGCAACGTAAAGGAAAACAGAACAAAGGTCTTCCCCAAAGCATTGCGTCTAGAAACCTTTGCTACATATTTCTCATCTCATATCCTTCAGCAGTCAAATCCCAGGACATGTATTTTAATTCAAGCGGTCTGCCATTTTCTCAAATGCATTACAAAAATAATCAAACATTATACTACTGGGGGACTAGAAAGATGGCTCAATGGTTATGTTTGCTGCTCTTTCAGAAGACCGGATTTTCAGTTCTCAGCAACCATGTCAAGTGGCTCACAACTACCTATAATTTGAGCTCCATCTAAGGCTCTCTCTGGCCTTTGAAGGCAGCCATACACACATACATATATACACAGACACACATACACACACAAATAAAAATATATATCTTTTAGAAACAATACAATAATGGGGTTGGAAGCATAGCTCTGTGGTAAAGTCCTAACATCCTTGCACAACATGCCCAAGGCCCTTCACTCCATCTATAGTATGGGGAGAGGGGAAAAAAAAGCTTTGCTCTATATTGACAACCAAATTTCTCTTCATTTCTTCCCCTTACACTTTACAGTCAGTCCCTAGGTCCTCAAAACTCTGTTTACATGGAATAGTTTCAGAGAGGGTTCCTTCCGTTTCTCTCAAATGTGGATCCTTGGAACTCAAATATCTTGGGCCTGAACAAATACTCCCTAACTGGTGTATCCATCTAGTAGTTTTCCTTTGGGCAGCTTCATGTTTCAGAATATATCCTTTAGGAACTTTCTTTTCAGATATTCTCACCAGTGATGTGATTTTCAGAAGCTCCCTGACATGAAATGACTTAAGTACCTCTTTAATGTGACTCTATCATTCCTCTGCAGACTGACTTCTCTCTACCTGTTGTTGGAAGTGCTATCTTTCTATTTAGCGAATCACACTACTGCTGCTTCTTGCCATTGGCCCAAGCCTCTTACCTTTATACCTTCATTTATACTACTCCTTCTTCAGGACAGATTTGGTCTCTACTCCAACTTTTGGAATCCTTTATAAATATCAACTGGCCATCAAGCCTTGCCTTGTCAAGAGCTATAGTACCACTGCTTTGTCTGGAGTAAGTGGGAAGTTGGCTTCTTAGGTGTGTGTGACACTGGTGTTAGAAAATTTACTTGATGACTTGCACTGGTAACAGAAATTTTAATTTTCTTAGACACTAAGAGTAACTCATTCTAGAACTAGCTGCTACTTACCCATAGACTCTGAAGTTTGACTGCCAACCACGCGGAGCAGCATAGGCTGACTGCTGTCTGACCTCTGCAGAGACGTAGAAGGAGAGGACACTGTGGTGCCATTCACCTTGGCCTCAGCCTGGGGCTAAAGTATGCAACATAAAAAAGTGTTATTTTCCATAATAAACTCAATAAAACTATAAGAACACTATAGACAAAAATTAGGAATATTATAGACACCCAGGACTCAGACATTATTACCATTCCTACTTAAAAACCTCCTAGAAATTGGGGAATGTGAGATATTTTATTGTTGATATGATCCATGGATATGTATTTGCATTTGAACTGTGTCCACTTATAAAAATGTAGAAAAAAATATAGATATGGTAGGACAAGATATGTCACCAAATTAAGAGGCTGAAAGATTGAGAAAGCCAAGTGAGAACAGAGCCAATATAAAACCCCAAAAGTTAATGGAGTATTTATATTCTTGAGAAATATTAGTACCACAATACAAAGAACATTATTTTAAAATTTTAAATGCTCAGGAAACCTGGGGTCTGGCTGGATAGGCTCTGTTTTAATGCTGTATCTGTATCCTTCTATGTTCCCAGTGGAGGTATAATTCTTTAAATTATGTGTTAGGGATTTGGAGAAGAAAAAAAACCCAAAGGTATACCACAAAATATAACTAATTTCAAAAAAGAGAATTTCATTTTAAACAGTCAAAATTTCATTTACAGAGGATAAACGGAAATCTTCTTGCATTTCTCTATAAGATGCATTTCCAATTGGTAAAAACAAATGAACAGAAAATAAAACCAAAACCGAAAACATATTGGAAGATAGAATGATGCCAAATAAATATTGAAAAGTACTTTAAAGTTTAAGAACAAGCATGTGAGTTCTGTCTCTGAGTTTTATTTAAAAGAGGAAAGGGAAAGTCTGTAACTAGCCAGTATTAGAGAGGTGGTAGCCTTACTTGCTCCAGGAGCTGTCTCAGTCTATGTAACTGAGACTCCAGCTGCTTATTGTGGTCTTCCAGGATTTGCATCCTGGCTTCCAGGCGTCCCTTGTGTTGACGCAGTAGCTTGGCCTCAGCAATGAGCTCAGCATCCCTGGGACTCTGGGGAGAGGTGGGCATCATCTCAGGAGGAGATGGCAGTGGGGACAGGCCTTTATGCTCATGCTGCTGCTTCAGACGATCATATTCTGCTTGCAGATTCCTATATATATCAGAGGTTAAGAAAGAAAAGAAAGGAAGAAAAATTAATAACATCACCAGCTTTCATAGAGCTGGCATACAGATGAATCTGACCACCACTGAACAAGAACAAGCAAGAGACAGGCACTAATGAATGGTTTATATGATGATGATCTTACCGACGCTAAAGGAACAAAATAAAACTGGAAGCTTTCGACTGGTGTGTGAGGAGAGATGTTTTTCAGTTTTTATGTCATACTAATAGTCTCACGGGTACTATGTTCAGATAAGTAAGCAGCAGAAGAATTAATCATTTTGTAAGTATTTCTTTATAATGTGAAATTAAAATTTTATGCCTCAATTCAGACTTCAATTTTCTTTAAAAAAAAATCAAAGTGTCAACAGAAATATCCAAGCGCGCGCACACACACACACACACACACACACACACACACACAAACACACTCACAAAGAATAGTTCATGCATTCATCACACTGCTTTAATAATTTTAACACCTGCCATAATTTCTGCAATGGTTTTAGGGGATTTTTTTTTTAATTTTTGCATGCATGCATGCATGTTATGCTGTTATAGAATCCAGGGTCCTGCACATTCCAATTTCTGCTTTAAGAAATGAAATCTAGCAGGCAAAGCTGAAACTACCACAATGTACCTTATCAACCCCATACTATTTTCTCCACAGCATCACTGCTAAGGAGATAATGCCATACTGAATCCTATGTCCATCAATACCATGCATGTAGTCATGTGTTACCTTGAAATTAAGATGCTATTATTGCCTGTTCTCTATTTAGAAAAAAAGTAATCACTACATGTAATTCAGTCTAGCATCACTACTTTGCATGTTCTTAAATCTTACATTTAAGAACTTTATGCTGAAGAATATACATACCATTTTGAGTTGCTTTTTGCCTTCAACATCATTTTTTGCAGCTGTATCCATGTTGGTACATAATAATTCGTTATTTTATTGCTACAAGGTTTTTTCTTGTTGCTTGAATATGTCCAAGTTTTCAGTTTTCCACTATTACAAACCATGATGCAATGAACTTCCTTATAGCAGTCTCTTTGGACATTGGGTTAAAGGATTCTATAAAATACATCTTGATGTGGGATTTGGGGGGTTCTTGTAATATCTTCATATATCGCCGAAGTACTTTCCTAAATGGTTTTATCAATTTGTTCTTTCAGCACTAGTGAATGGAGCTTCCCATTTGCCACGTTCTTATAGAAAACTTGGTGTTAGCAGACATTCACATTTTGGACCAGCTGATGGCTGCATTTTAATCTTCACACTTCTGATCACTGATGAGTTGAACTTCTGCCATAACTGGCAGTTGAAATTAAAACGTGAAATGTCTCCCATATGCATGTGTTTGAACACTTGGTACTCAGCTGCTGGTGCTGTTTGGGAACCTTTCGGAAGGGGAATGCCTGGCTGTAGGTATTAGGTCAACATGGGCAGGCTTTGAGGCTTTGTAGGCAGGATCTGACTTCTGGGTGAATTGTTTTTCCTTATTAAAGTTTTGATAGAGTATAGATGCCTATTCTTTGAAAGTTAATATGTATAGGACACATTAGTTCCTGCAATGATATTTTTTAGATTTACTTATTTAATTTTTGTGTGACAGTATTTTGCCTGAATATATATATATATATATATATATATATGTATATATATATATATATATATATATATATATATATATATATATATATATATATATATATATTAGGCATGCCTGGTGCCTGCAGAAGTCAAAGGAGGATATTGTATCTCTTGGATGATTGTGAGCCACCATGCAGGTATTAATAGCTCACCTTGGGTCCTCTGCAAAAACAAATGCTCTTAACTGCTGAGCCATCTTTCTAGCCCATCTTGCTATATCTTGGTGTAGAGTTAATTTTGTGAACATTCTATAGTATAAAAAAATACATTTCAACATTTTTCTTCACAGTTGTTGTTTTAAGATAATGTTCCTTACAGTTACATTCTAAAACTTAAGATTGTGGACCAGGACCTATTGCTGATGACAACACCTACATAATTCGTTAAACATAGTGGAATCAAACTGGTTTCTGCCTAGAGCCTTCACCCCTACTGTTCATAGTACTGAAAGGTACTCTGCATGCTACCAAACTAGAAAGGTAAACGCCGAGCCGGGCAGTGGTGGTGCTCGCCTTTAATCCCAGCACTCAGGAGGCAGAGGTAGGTGGGTCTCTGTGAGTTTGAGGCCAGCCTGGTCTATAAAAGCGAAGTCCAGGACAGCCAGAATTGTTTCACAGAGAAACCCTGTCTTGAGGGGGAAAATGAGGTAAACGCCAACCCAACTATAAACTCTTTGATCTACAAAGGTGACCTGCCTGCATGATACACTGATGTAATAATGGCGCAGAAGTTGTGGGAGTATCCAACTACTATTTGATATGATTTAAGGCTCATTCCATAAGATGGAACCCATTCCTGATACTGCTCAAGTGGCCAAGAACCTAAGACTAAATAGACCATGCACCTATGAAAAAATGAAGTACAATTTTTCTGCTAAAGGAAAGTAGCAATAAAATGACTCTTAATGATATTTTCTATATCAGTAGAGCAGTCTCTTACTCAGCCATCACCAGAGAAGCCTCCTTTTGCCAGTACATGGGAACAAATATCAAGACAACTAGACAATGTGCACCAAGTAAGAGACTTTGGAATACCCAATCTTAAATGGGATATAGTCATCAAATCCCTCTCCCAAGAGCTCAGGAAGCTTTGTGGAGGAGGAAGCAGGAAGATTGTAAGAGTTGGTGGGAATAGAAGACACCAATGAAACAGTGCCTTCCAGATACAGCAGTACTAACACACATATGAACTCCCAGAGACTGTGGCAGCATCTCCAGGGCCTTCACAGTCTAAGCCAGATGGGGTCTAGCACTGAGCAAGGAAGTGGACACAAATTCCTAGCCCAGGAGCTATCTCCAATTGACAACAGTTCACAAAGGAAAAAAAAATTCATTTTTTCCAATGGAGTGGCACTGGGTATTATAAACCACACTTAAAAGCAGGCCCAATGCCCAGGAGTAGGTGTGTAACACAAAACGAACTCAATGGTATTTTTTTGAAGGTTTTTGTCTCAGAATGCTTTATTTGGGATTTTTTTTTAACCTCACAGATCTTTTGCTTATATGTTATGGTTTCTGATTTTGTGTTTTTATGGGATTTGTGTGTATGTGGATGTGTTTGTATCTGTGTCTGTATGTGTTTCTTGTGCTTTTCCTTTGTTTTTTTTTCCTGCTTGTGTGTTTGTTTTGTCCTATTCTGGTGTGTGTGTGTGTGTGTGTGTGTGTGTGTGTGTGTGTGTGTGTGTCTGTCTGTCTGTCTGTCTGTCTGTCTGTGTTTAGTTGCCTGTTTGTTTTCTAATGAGAGAAAGAAAGGGTGTGGGTTGGGGTGGGTGGGGAGGATCTGGAAGGATTTGGGGTTAGAAAAACTCTGATCAGAATATAAGCAATTTATTTGCAGTAAAAGTTAAAATTATAGATAAAAAACATGGTTCACAGAGATAGCTTAACAGGTAAAGTTTGCAGCCAAACTTGATGGCCTGAATTCAACCAGTGGAAGTCAAATAGTAGAGGGAACCAACCTCTACAATTTGTCTTCCGACATCCGGGTATGTGCTGCTGCAACGCGTACCCCCAGCACACACACAAAATAAACAGCATGCTCGTTAAAAATATATAACTTTTTACCATTTTTATTTGAAGCTTTAATTTTTTCCAAAACCCATTTTTGTGTGTAGGTGAACACCTGATCTGATTTGACTTTCCTCCCCTTGATAAACATTACGGCAACTCCACTCACTGTGTTTGACTCTGCCATTGCCACTGCTCTACATCAAGTGTCCATCAATAGACAGCTGCGGTTCTGCGCTGTCTACTCCATTCCACCGATTAGCACAGCTTCCCATCAATTGCTGTTCGGAAGGGCTTCACATTTCCACTCCATTCTTCCTCAAAATTATCTAGGTTATTCTAATCTCTTTGATCTTCTGTATGATTTTAGTATCAAATTTTCATATTTCATGAAAATCCATGATCATATTTTTGGGTTTGAATTATATTGAATTTAGATATTAAACTGGGAAGAACTGTGTTCATATAATTGAGTTTTCACACACCGCAGTGGGGTAAAGCTCCTCATTATTGTTTTATATCTACAATATTTTACACCCACAGTATTGTATATTTCACTTTTTTTCTTGTTGATTTTTTTTACACATTTTGTTGCTGTTGTTTGAGACAGGGTTTCACTATGTAGCCCTAGCTGGACTGGAATTCTCTTAATAGTCTCAAATTCACAGAGATCCTCTTGTTTTTTCCCCCTAGTGCCTGGATTATAGGTGTGGGCCACAATAATGCTTACTTTTTATTTTTACTATTTTTTAATAAGCACATTTGAAATACATTTTCCATTCTGTATATCAAAATTACATATATGTACATTTGTATATAAAACTTTAATTCAGTTGCTTATTCAAATTCAACAAATAGTGATTTAGAGGTAGTTTTTATATTTCTAACCACTTGACTAATCATTTTAGTATACTTTCCAATTCAGTTTCATTTTATTCAGAGAATAACTGTATGATACTAATCCAAATATAATCTAACTCTAGTTCATAACCACTTTTTAAATATGTAATTAAAATGCATTATGAGGCCAGGTATGGTGGTGCACGCCTTTAATCCCAGTACTCAGGAGGCAGAGGAAGGCATATCTCTGTGAGTTTGAGGCCAGTCTGGTCTATAAAGTGAATTCCAGGACAGTCTGGGTTGTTACACAGAGAAGTCCTATCTTGAAACAACAGCAAAAAGGTATGTATGTTCTTTTGTAAAAGATAGTATGTATTCATAAAGTACATTACTTTTGTTTACATTGTAAGTTTACTAAATTTCTGATTCTATTGAGCTAATCAATTTCTTAGAGCAATGTTGAAATACAATGGCTTGTTTCTCCT